CGTTTATTCAATAAACGCAAGTCAAAACTACAACCCCAAGACGATGGTCCGTTTGAAGTGTTGGCAAAGGTTCACAAAAATTCCTACCTGGTCAATCTTACACGAGGCCTAGAAGTTGCTGCCACATTTCATCGAAGAGATCTTAGCCCGTACGAGGATTTTGAAGATATTCCGAGTTTGAGGACAAACTCTTTTGAAGACCGGGAGGATGTTATATCCGGGCCTGGCCCTATCATACCCTCCCCCATGTCCTACACCCTCGCAAAAACCAGAGGACTTAAGTTCAAGCATTATGATCCGTTTTAGTGAGAATTCCGAGTCCTTCAACCCAAAAGGCCAGAATAGCTTCGGACCTAAGGTTTCCACAAGCCAACTCCCACTCCGTCCAACCCAAAATATCCAAAACTCCTTGCCATTTACTTCATTTCAAAATAAAGTTTTTCCTACTCTTATTTTAGCCCTGGCCGAAAATAAGAGTGTGTAAACCAAAGCCTTTTTGTTTGTTGTTATTTTCCTTCTTTTAAGCCTTTTAATAAACCAATAAAACCCTCTCTTTATTCCATTCACCCCCTGGCCAAAATACACTTCACAATCCCAACATAAACACCCACAAAGAGCCAAAACCATGACCCACCTCCAGCCCCTAATTCCTGCCCATGTTTCCCTCACAATAACCCAAAGCCATAACTCCAAAACACCCATAAATAATACCCAGCCCTGTCCCCTTTTATTGGCCAAAACATCCCCCCATTTTACCCAAATAATAGCCACAAAAAACCCAGGAAACAACCACAAGGAACCAAAGCTCACAACCCCCACAAACCCAGCCTCATCTCTGATTTTTAAGACCACCCAGGAGACAGGATTGAAGAAAGGATACCCCATATTTGGAGGTGGATGTTGCTAGGAAGTTTCCTCATGTTTTGTACTATGTATTTCCCCCTTCCCCTCTCCCTATATAATCAGGCCCTATGGCCATTGTAAACACATCTCTGAATATTAAAACTCCCTTTTACTCTTTGAGTATTTATAAAATAGTGTGATGCTATTTTAGCCAAATTCCTAATTCTATATCTTAAGAGTGGTTATCTTAAGTGTGAGTTTTAGGTTCTAGATATTTGATTAAGTGTGTCATATCTTAATTAAATTCTAGATTCAAACCCCAAGTTAGTATAAGAGTGTGTAATATCTCTTAAACACCAACTTGGTGTATCCATCCCTGATTTTCTTCCATTTCATACCTCCCCATTTCTCCTCTTAATCTCACTCTTTTCTTCCATTAAAATACCCAAAAAAAACTCCCTCATCAACTCCATATACTTCCAGTCCATTCCCCCACAAAAACACCCTTCTTCCTGCACAGATAACTGTCAAATAATCGATTATTGCTACTGGAAATCGATTATCTATCCCTCGTGAAACATCTGCAGCCTTCAATATTCGGTTCACTTTCAGACAATCGATTATCAGCCTTTCCCAAAAAACCTGCACTTCTCAATAATCGATTCACATCTTCTGTAAATCGATTATCCCCCCTCCCAGAACATCCCAATAAACCTGCACTTTTCAATAATCGATTCACATCTTCTGTAAATCGATTATCCCCCCTCCCAGAAAACTGCCCAAGAACCTGAAGCCCTTAACAATCGACTATCCTACTTGGACAATCGATTATCCACCCTTCCTGCAAAAGAAAGGAGCTTGTTCCTTAAATCCGAGCTTAATACCGACAAACCCGGAGCTTAGATATAACAGCTCCATATAAACTTCCTCGTGCATTGTACCATTTAAGAAGGCATTATTCACGTCCAATTGGCAAAGAGACCAGGAATAAGTGAGGGCAAGTGTAAGAATGAGACGAATAGTTACCGGTTTAGTGACCGGAGTAAATGTCTCAAAATAGTCACGACCAAGTTGTTGAAGAAACCCTTTAGCCACCAGCCGGGCTTTGTACCGATCAACCTGCCCATTTGGCTTCCGTTTGATACGGAAAACCCACTTATATTGAATAGGATGCTAGGAAGGGCGTGGAACAAGTTCCCACGCATTATTATGCGGAAGCGCATGGTACTCGGCATCCATAGCGACACACCACTCCGCATCTTTCTTAACATGCATATAAGTTAGAGGCTCCACAAGAGTGACTGAATCTACATGATTAACTAAATGTTCATTAAAATAACAAGAATTGAACTTTCGCTCACGAACTGGCCGACCAAAGGAAGAAGAGGATTCGGTCCGTAAAGGAGGAGTAGGCTGAGAAAGGGAGTCCGAGGAACAAACATGCGGAGAAGACGAAGGCATGGATGGAGAACTCAAGTGGGTAGTGACCAGGTGCTGATGGGGAGAGGGAATGGGATTATGATTGGGAACAGAGAGGCTTGGAGAATGAGGATGTGCATGAGTATGGGGAACAAGAGAAAAAGTGGCAGGTAGAAAAGGCAGTGGAGGATCAGGAGGCAGGGAGGCACTTTGCATGGAGGGCTGAGACGCATACGGAAAAATATTAGGCACGAATTTCACATGTCTAGAAATATAGACCTGACCAGAGGCAAGATCGTAACATTTATATGCCGATTGAGTGCTGGAGTAACCAAGAAAGATACATGGAGTAGACCTGGGAGAGAGTTTTGTGACCTGATAAGGATGCAACCAAGGGTAACAGAGACACCCAAAAGGTTTAAATTTATTGTAATTTGGAGTGTCTTGAAATAAAGCGGCATAGGGCGAAATGTTAGATAATATGGGGGTAGGAAGACTATTAATAAGATAAACCGCCATATGAAAGGCATAGGACCAAAAAGACACAGGAAGACCACCGGTATGAAGGAGAGAGAGAGAGCGGTTTCAACAATATGACGATGACGACGTTCAGCCGTGCCATTGTGTTCAGGCGTATGTGGTGGAGTGATAAAATGAGAGATGCCACTCTGTTGAAAAAGGGGAAGAAGTTTAATAAACTCACCACCATTGTCGGAGAAAACACACATAATGGACCGCTGAAAATAATTTACCACAAGCCGCTTGTATTGAGGAAAAATAGAAAACACATCAAATTTTTGTTTAAGAGGATACCACCAAATGTATTTCGTATAGTGATCAACAAAAAGGACATAATGGTAATATCCATCCATAGAACACTAAGAAGTACTCCAAACATCAGTTTAAATTAGATCTAAAGGAGCATTACTCGACAACGTATTAAATGCAAAGGGCAACTTGTGACTCTTATTGATATGACAGGAAGAACTATGAAAATTAGAACAATCATTAAACTTGAAAAAATTGCTACATTGGCGAACAATAGCACCCAGAGTTTTAATATTAGGGTGTCCTAGCCGATGATGGAGATCAGCGAGAGACGAGACGGTAACAGAAAGAGTGTTGACCCTTGCTGCACCCAACCGAGAGGAAATAGAGTAGAGATTATTTTTTGTGTGTCCCCGAAGTAAAGGTGTCCCTGTACGCAGATCCTTCACAAGGAAGGAGTTAGAGAAAAATTCAACCGAAACTTGATTAGTACGACATAACTGAGACACAGATAAAATATTATTCTGGAGATGTGGAACACACAAAATATTTGACAAATTAAGAGAACTACCAACAGTGGGTAGACGAGATTGACCAATGTGAGAAATCGTTAAATTTTTACCGTTATCCAAACGAACTTCATCTGGGCCGTCATAATCCATGAGAGTGGTGAGCGAGGAAGGGTCACCGACAACATGATGTGAGGCACCACTATCAATAATCCACGGAGATTCACTCTTGTCGCGACCTCCGAGTGAGACGATCATGTGAGTCGTTGGAGTAGCGAGCAGTGCAGAGCCAATGGAAACATTATGCTCCTTCAAGAAACGTTGAAGTTTACGACAAAACTTCGTATCATGACCCGGATAGTCACAAAATTGACAATATCGGCCACCACGTGTAGGATTAGAAGAACCACGTCCACGCATGCCGCTGCGAGAGGCACCCGATTGACTGCCACAGCCGAAAGTACCACCACGATGATCACTGCCATGCATACGTTGGGCATGATTGGCTGTGGGAACTAGGTCAGACGAGGCAGCAGAGCGGTCATGAATCTCACGTTCACAATCCTTCAAAATCGTGGAGAGCTCATCAAGGGAAATATCATCATTCCGCCCCCTCAATGACTGATAGACCGAAGAGTAATCATCGCCAAGTTGAGACATAATATGACCTGCAAGATCTTCATCAGTGACAGGGCTACCAGCTAAAGCAAGGTCGGACGTAATCGTTGTCATATCCGCAATAAAGGCTTCAATGGTGCGGTTTCGGCGGGGATTATTCGCCAACTTGGACTTGAGAGAAATAATACGCCCACGGGACATATTGGCGAGACTCACGGCCAACCGAGACCAGGCATCGGCTGATGTTTCCGCTAGGGATATCACAGGCTGGACAGCATCTGTGCAACTGCCAAGGAGAGTGCTGAGAAGTATGGCATCCTGACGGTACCAGCAAGTGTACGCAGGGTTGGGCTGCTTGTGCGCAGCATCCGAAAACGGTGATGGGGCGTGAACGGAACCATCGACATAACCAAGAAGGTCCAAACCGACGATAGTAGTGTGGACCTGGCGACGCCAAACGAGATAGTTTGTCTTGGTGAGCTAGATTGGGAAATGTTTAGCAGCAGATATACGGATGAAGGAGGGAGCAGAATCTGCAGAAGTCATCGGTTTGCAACCGGAAAGAAACACAGGGGAGCCCTCTTAGTGATCAGGAAAAAAATATGTTTTAAAGAACAAGCTCCGATACCATATAAGAGATGTATTTTCTCATATTATTCCAAAATCATGGTACAAGGATTTATACAGAAGAGGAGGCTACTGGATAGCTAAACACAACTTACGATCTTATTCTCAAGCTAACAACCTAATCTAATACATATGGTTAATATGCAGGTGGTAACATAGAGATAAGTACAAACCAAATTATGAATAAGCAATAATAACTATTTATCCTTAATAGGAACAACATCCAGTTATGGTGGACATTTAGTTTGAACGATGTCCAGTGACGGTGGACATTTACTTAAACAATGACCAGTGGTACTACATTGGGAAATAAAAATATATGGTAATACATTAGGAAAGTCACTATGTTTTAGTACGATTAAGGTAAATTCCCCTAAAATAAATAATGTTATAGGACAAAAAATTGAAATATGTTATGAAGTTAATAAAGATGCATGTGTGATAAAATTTACAAATAATAGTTTCTTTTGATATGGTGGATATTTTTAAAATTATAAAAAACATTTGTTAGACGTCTTTCACACCTCTAGAGGGGGGGTGAATAGAGGTGTTTACAAAAATAATAAAATTTTCGACTTTAAGTATAAAAGTGCAGGAATAAAAATTAAAAGGATAACGGGATTAATGAATGTAAAGAGACAGCGATATATCCTGGTTCGGCCTAATGCCTACGTCCAGTCCCCAAGGCAAACGTGCCCGAGATTCCACTAATCCTTGTTAAACTTAACGGAGTTTAACAATCCGAATACAACTCGAGAACTTGATTTCACAAGCCTCTAACCTTTCCACCGAAGTTTTGATTTCACAAGACTTTGGATTTCAATCCAAAACTTGAATTATTTCAAATTCAAGTTTTTACAATTTAAAAACTTACAAACCAAAGTGCACAGCGGAATTGACTCTTCGAACAAGAGCGGATATGCTGTAGATTACAACCAAACCTATAGTGTATGGCACAAATGACTCTCCACACTTCAATTTGAAGGATTGCTCAAGAAAATGCTTGAATGAATTGAGTAGGAGGATTTGATTCAATAAAACTCTTTGAAATTCTCAAAGGATAGCAATTGTAAATGTTCTTGGATTGTCTTGTTGTTTGAAAACCGGAACTAGATAGAGTATATATGGATAGGGTCGAAGAAACCTCCACGGGAATTTAAAAAATTGACCGTTAGTTGTGAAAACTATCGATTTATTCGAATAAAACATAATTTATTCGAATAGTTTGAGTAAAACAGGATTTTTCAAGACACAGGGCTTATTCGAATAAATACTGGATTTATTTGAATAAAACAGAACGAACTGCAAAACTGGGAGCCTACTTATTCGAATAAATAGTCATTTATTCGAATAGTTTTCAAAATTTTGGAAAAACTGGAATCAGCCCTTATTCAAATAAAACAAACATTTGTTCGATTAAAACAGACTGAACTGCAATCTGCAGAAGTCCCTCTTATTCGAATAAATCTCAATTTATTCGAATAAAAAACTGGGAAGAGACATTTTTGAAGAAAAGATTTGAGAAAGAGTTTTGAAAGCAATCAAAGAGAGATTTTTGTAGGAAAGACAAAGTATTTGAAGAATAAAGATGTGCCAAACACTTTAACATGAACTAAGACTCAAAAGAAATAAAAATCTAGAAAACCTTTAATCTTTAAATCTTGTCTTGAATCTCTAAGCAACGTGCCAGGCAATCCACATGAAAAGATCCAAATTCAAAGCTCATCCCATATGCATGGTTGTCATTATCAAAATACAAGGGTCAACAATTTCCCCCTTTTTGATAATGACAAACCCAAATTAACAAGTGCTTGGACTCAAATCACAAGGTTTCCTGTCTCTCAACAAATTAAACACACACAAGACACAAACAAACATGCAACTAATTAATCATTAGAAAAAGTTCAAGAAAGCAACTTCCCCCTGTTTGTGTGCACTTGACCAAGCACAAGCAATACCCACACTTCCCCCTTTTGTCTAAACCAAAAAGGGAAGATAAAATCACAGAAAATGGTAGTCATAATCAAAAACACAAGGGGTTATGCAAAAGATAGAGTTAATACGTAAGGCATAAGTTAAAATGATTAATGCTAGAAAATGAGTTCCCAATCCACTCATTCCTCATCCATGGTCGCATCGTCGTGTTCAACAGCATTCACCTCTTCATCATCCTCATTGTCTTCATCACCATCATCATCAGAAGGAGCGGCATGAGAAGAAGAACTCCGAGGCATGTAAGGCACTAGAGCTTCCATGGACGGTGTTTCCCATTGCTCGCCATTCTTAACCAACATCTTGTTCAAGTTATAACCATATGTGGCCTGTTGGAGTTGAGTGTGGTCGAAGGAAGATTGGAGGCTTTGCAATGACTCAAATAGCATAGGCAAGGTGACCTTTTTACTTCGTGAAGCTACACGAGAATGAGAAGGGCCTGCTTCCTCACGTTCCTCCTCAGTATCAATCTTGACTCTCATTACCGTCGCCCTCTTGATCCTCCAAAAAGCTGTCTCAGAGTCCGATTCGGTACTAAGAAATTCAAACCCCTTTGTCTTCAAAAGAAAGGTGAGAAGCATGGGATACGGTAAGGCTTTCTTCTTGGCTCTGCATAAATTCATGTAGCTCAAGATGTATTTCCCCCAATTCACTGACACCGGC